GAAAAGTAACGGGATGAAAAGTAGGGGACGAAGTGTAGGGGTACCGATATAAACAAGTATGAATTCCATACCGTGGTCCATCACCAAATGGAAGATATGTCATTGGATGTCGTTTAGCTTTTTCTGTCGGTAAGAATCTAATAATATTACCAATATTCTCATTAAGAATACCTATGATTATGACATGAGATGTACCTTTCAGGTATGAATTTTTCCGGTTCAGGCCAAATATTAGGATCATGATGGATGGGATAAACGGGTACGCTTATAATAGTACCTTTCGGTATGTCATAATTACCAAGTTGGTAATTGTTCGAGGCGACTCGCTCAAATCTATCAAATAAAAACACATTTATCGAAGGAAAATAAAGACCATAGAAAATTACCTGGTAAACGGTGGATACATTCGAAGTGTTTCATTAATAACCATATCCAAATATTGAAGTTGACTAAGTTTTTCATAAGTAACTTCATCCTAGATACAACAATGAGATATTACTCTTCTCTAGCACGAATATCACGTACATCTCCAAGTTCTTGACGAATTTCATTATAAACTTTTTCTTGAATCACTGGTTCTGTTGCCATGACATAGAAAAAGAATGATATTAATACACTTGTTGTTTCATAACCAGCAACCAAGAAAACTAGAGCTTGACCAAGTATTTCTTTATCATTCAAAGCTAAAACCGTGTTATGAGTTTATCTATAATAAAGTAATTGATTTTTTTACTCTTTTTAACTATTTCGGATTGTCGTTCTTGCTTCTCGACTTGTTCTTCATGTTTGACTTCTTCTTCATGATCAATCATCATTTGAATAAAATCATTTCGTCTTTCTAAATATTGTCGACGTCGTGCTAATATTTGATTAAATAATTGTGTGAAATAGTTCATAGTATCTCTTGGTACCATTGAATAACCTGTCTCACTCAAATGACGAGCTAATCGATGTGAAAAAACTATTTCCAATCAAAAAATAATAATCTATATAATATTTCTTCCTCTACAATATACTCACAAAAGACTAATAAAAATAGATTGGCCGCACTGAATGAAAAAAATTTTTTTAAATGATTGACTAAAGTGATATTTTCATTCTGCAACGAATTTGTTTCAATACCAAATAGACAAGAAGCAATATTATCAAGAGTATATTGACCATTCAGTCTATGATTATAACACAACTACACTAAAAATAATCACATTAAGCAAAAAATAGACATATACATTTTGACATCGAATATTTCTTGTTTATCAGCATATTCAAGAAGACGTTTGTTATACATGTCACTAATTTCATTTATCAGACCGTACATCTGAAGAAAACGATTAGCAAAAATAAATACTGTCACACTGAGACACTTACTGCTTTGAGTTTTGTTGTAGAGAACACTGGTGAAACGATGGATCGAGCATTTTTCCATTGTTCATATTTTAGCCCTGTAAGACCATATTCCATGATACCGGTAACACCTTCCATGCTCTACAAAAGCAGAGAGATGTTCAAATACTGATAGAAAGGTAATTACTAAAATACTCGTCGATTAATAAACATATTTGAGTCTTTGATTAGAACGTTGCGAAGAAGGTCTGGATCTGAGAGAAGAATAGCTGGAGTAGTTCCTTCGAAAATTCTATAACAAAATTTTCAAAGGTTTCTATCCAAATTAGTAAAATGCAGCAAACATCAAGTAATCAGTACAGATATTGTTGAACTTCATATCCACACTTTGTTTCATTAATATTTACTTACCCTATGATTTTTCCATATTTCCGAACAAGATTGATGTCGTTCGCATATAATCCCTGAATGAATGCAACTGTTAAGTTAATATATCATTGAAGAAACATATGAAAGTTAATACCTTTCGCATAACATTAAACATTTCACCGAGTATTGGAATAGGTGCTGGACCAGGCATTCCAAGACGACGAAATATATTGTTTGTACGCAGATTGTAACTAAAATTCAGGTCATTAAATTTCCATTTTGAACTAATAAATGAGTCGTAGATTACCCACACATAATAAGCAAAGATAAATATGAGTACAATCAATAATGTCAATGTTATTGAATCACCAATTAAAAAATAAGTCATTTTTATGTTTGTTATCTGTAATAAATCATAAAAAGAACTTTTGTTTCTGCATATTTTTTGTAGTATTCTTTTGCTGCGTTGTTGTTTTTTTTATGACGGTGTCTTTTTGATTGTGACGATTTTTGGATAGAAGAAATGGTAGCGCTGATGGAAATGCGCTTTATTATATTTCTTCTTATGAAAAATCGTATCATGTACATACAAAGCGCACGTTTATATACGCAGCCAGAACAGAAAGAAAGGAAAGTGCAAGTAGAACAGAAGAAGAAGATATGAATAACAGGAAGGAAAATAATGAGAGAGAACAGATATGACGATATCGCTATGCTCTAGGCCGAAATCAGACGTACTTCTGAGCGTCTGGAAGCAAGTAGAAAAAACGAGTCGCGAAATCGTATCTCAAAGAACGGATATCTTCCATAGAACAGAAAAAAAGTTGTAGAAGGAAAGTCACATAAGAGTCAAATGGTTGCGTTTGTTATTTGGTTGTGCTGTTGTGTAAAGGTTTACATGATAGGTCGTTGACATTTCAGGCCATTGATTCGGACAATTGGCATTAAGGCTAAGAATGTTTGTTTATAACCTTGGGATACAATTAAGAGACTAATGTTGAAGCAAAATATGATGTTGAATGTTGGCTCTTGTATATTGTGCAGGCAATAGCGTAAAATTGATGAGACAAATCATCAGACTACAGAACGGGAACACTTCCAAAACATTTTGCTCACAGACTAGGCATCTGCAAAGTGGTCCCGGTCCCGATCCCGGCGGGACCGGAACCAAAATTTTCAAGGTGGTCCCGGCATTATTTTTTATCAGAAACTCGATTCTGCGTTTAGGTATTTCTTATATTTTTGTGATCAGAAATCTAAAAAACAGCAATTTTCTTTACAATTCAGATAAAAATTTTCATCGATCCTCGTTTCAGTTTCAAAAATCGGAATTTTTTCACCATAATACAATTTTTAACTGGCATCGAGCCCAGACCGGGATCGGGACCGGGACCAAAAAGGACTGATTTTGCAGATGCCTATCACAGACAAATCGACGATTTGATCAACTCTTCAATATCTCGACGTCCGCAAATTGAGATTGACTCGGCGATGTTTATAAGCCGGAAACCATCGTTCAGTGCGTTGAGAAGGTGACTATTGTCGGATTTTTTTCAAATACCAACCACCATTTGTTGAATAACTTTCGATAGTTCCTAGCTGTCGAAGTCGGGTTTTCACCATTAGATAGAGTAATGTGGATAGCATCTATCTATGTAATATGCATTAAGTTCCAGAAAGCTTTGCAAGGATATTTGCAAGTGAACATTTTTTCTGTTGCACATGTCTACAGATTTTCGTAGCAACCTATGCTCAAATTACACCAAAATGTAGTCTGAAGAGTGCTATATCCCCTATATAATTGTTCGAATGTTTTCCCTTCACCCTTGGGCTCATACTTTAAGAGGAGTTGTCTGAAATCTGGAAATTTTATGAACAATACGACTTACTCTGGACTACATTTCGATGTAATTTGAGTGTAGACTGCTACAAAAACCTATAGAAATATGCAATAGAAAAAATGTTCACCTGCAAATATCCTTGCAAAGCTTCCTGGAACTTAATGAATATTACATAGATAGATGCTACCCCGATTGTTCCATCTAATGGCGAAAATTCGACATCGATAGCTGGGAACTATCAAAAGTTATTCAACAAATGGTAGTTGGCATTTTAAAAAAATCCGATATTAGTTACGACAATATTACATCCATTGAATCAATGTTTGAATTGATTCAGTCAGAAGCATGAACGATATATCGAATGACAGAATGACTTGAAACGATACAGCGTTTTACATATAGATGTTTCTAGGACAGTATGTTGGGACTACGTATAGTCGGCTTCGTCTCCAACCGCCCTTTGATACATTCGCTGATATTCGATAATACTACTGTTCACCTCAGCAATATTATCGTTCGAAAATCATTTCCATCAACTTTACATTACGAACATACTTGTTCCTGAACAGTCTAGGCTTCAACCACAAGACAGAAGAATGTCGGTAGCCAGGGTCTCCAAATGTGACGATTTTTGGATAGAAGAAGTGGTAGTGCTGATGAAAATGCGCTTTATTATATTTCTGCTTATCAAGTATCGCATCATTTACATAAAAAGCACACATTGATATACGCAGTCAGAAGAGAGAGAAAGGAAAGTGCATGTAGAACAGAAGAAGAAGATATGAATAACGTGGAAGAAAATAATGAGAGAGAACAGATATAACGATATTGCTACAATGATGATAGTTTTAGTTGTATGAAGCTTGTTAATTCGATTGTTTTTACCTTATTTCAATATTGACACAGGACATCTACGTCAAGCACTGTAAGAATGAGAAAAGAAAAATAAGATAAAATTTTGGATGTTTTGTTGTTGTTCTCATAGGTGGCTTTCGAAGACCATCGTTTCACTTTCCATTGTCTATAGCATAGCATTAACATTTTGAGAAATGTAGAGAACCTTATTTAATAAAATTCTTTTTTTTTGTGTGTGCAGCTTTTGGAACCCTTCGTGTACATTATTATATTTTTAATTTGTCTTGATTTTTATAAGATAATAAAGACTCATGATGCAAAAGGACTTGATGTAATAATAACTGATGTTATTTTCAACTTAGGGGTGTGGAGTGTGGGTTAGGTGAAAGAGAACACCCACACTCACACTCACAGCCACATCCCACACCCCACACCCACCCACACCCTATATAGCTGTGATTTTCTGTAATACACAAGAGAGTAGAAGTGGTAATGTGAAATACATCTTCAGCTGTTAACATTTTTTAAATCAGAAAAGGCAGTTTTTTTATTTTATATGATATGCATAGATGAAAAAAACATCGTTTGTTTTTATCGATGAAACGGAAGAAATAATAGTAACATTAAAAAAAATTTTCCAACATTGATAATATTGAAATATGATTTTTGTGTATGATCTACTTGAATATCTTATTTAATTTGTTTCGAATAATTTCTTTTTGATTATTTGATGGATTTTAGACATCAGGTGAAAAGAACAAATATATTTTTGTTACATATTTTAGACCAAGTTTAGTGCTGGGCAAATTAAAGAGAATTGCCACAAGATTTAGAAACACGATGTCGTTGAACAGGATGATTTTGAAGATTGACCATATGATCATATTAATTTCTGTTTGAATTTAATGTGAAGTCTGATTAGTTCATCGATGTGACTTGACTCGCCAGAATTTGGAATGGCAATCTCTCTGAATTGTTAGATTTATACAAATACATATGATAGAAACTAATTTTCTCTGAATAATTTTTAAGGTGGGTGGGCGTGTGGGTGGGTGTGGGGTGTGGGTGTGGGTGTGGGTGTGGGTGTGTGGGTGTGGGTGTGGCTAGGATGTGGGTGAGGGGTATGGATTAGTGTCGGTTAAGAGAATAACTACACCCACACCCACACCCTAGCCACACCCATGCCCACACTTACACCCACACACTAGGTTTAGTTTTATTTTTTTTCGTCAATCGTACCAAAAAGTTGTAATTCACTCATATATACACTAGAACCTCACTATAGTGGACACTTACAGCATTCTATGAAAGTGTCTACTTTTGAGAGGTTTTTCGAATCTTTTTGATGTAGTCAAACATTATATCTCCAAATCATTTCGCAAGATAAGCCGCACTAAATGTATGTGAGAGCTATTTTCCTAATTATTTTCTAATAATGAATTTTCACGTAGAATTTATTTAAAAAAAATCTTTTAAATTTCTCAATCTGATCTAAAGAAGTCACTTACACAACTTTCAGTAATTGCTTTTTTTAGACTAAGAACAATTGTCTTCAATTGAATTTCTATGCAATTGAAAATTGTTTTTCATGGCAGCATACTAGGTACTTCACGTAATTTTGGAGATGTCTACTGCATAATTTATTTTCAACAAGTCATACCTTCAGTACGTGTCAATTTATGAGTAGTTAGAGAAAGAAATAAAAATATTTTTCTTCCTTACTTTTCCTACTTCATTCTACTTTCTAGAGATCCTTTCATTCGTCATACTAGTCAAATCAATGTTTACATACACATCTAGTTTTAGTTGTACAGTAAAGAAATGTCCCACAATTCAACAGTTCGTTTCTCGTAAAATATGCTCAGGAGTACGACTGACTATCCACGTATATAAACAAAAGAAAAATCAATTTTGCATAGTTTTAACGCAAGACTTAAAATGAAAACATGCTCCCAGGCTTTTGAGTGGCACTGTACCGTAAAATGTTGTTTGCTATTTATTATTAGTTGTTGTGAAACATCCTTCATATAAATTGACATTTATCTATATATGAATTGTTATAGGCAACATATTAATTTAGTAATATAAACCCTTTTTTCTGATATCTTTCTTCCGTTCGCAGACAATAAAAGCTGTCTTTTTGCATTTCATTTCTTCATTACATAATACACTGTATTAAAAAAAAGTAAAATACACCACAAGATGCAGTGTGAAAAGTACTACAATCTAATAAAGACAACTTCCTTTATAGTTGCATTTTTCGTTTTCAAAATGATCAAAATTTTAGGCCACTAGTTTTTGACGTTTCGAAAAAAAAGAATTTTGTTTTTGTTGTCATTAGCCGCACAGAATTTAGGTTACTTTGAAAATGA